TATATATATATATATATATATATATATATATATATATATATTGAAAAAGAATGCAAACATACCATTTACTTTTGGTACAAGGTCAGAATTATTCTTGTCCGTTACATTTTGATTCGGGTGGTTGTAAGAATGCCATTGATTAGAGTAAAAAAAAGAAAAATTCTTCATGTTACACCTTGAGCTATCTAATTGGACATTTAATGACTAGAAGTAATTGTGATATGCTTACACTAAAGGTAAATGGTCTCATCGTATATTTTATATATATATATATATATATATATATAAAGATCCTGTCAGCTCATGGGCTGACTGTTATAGTAAACGCCCATGGCCCAGATTGAATCTAAACCGATTTGACAGTCACGATCTCATTTCGTATTTGAATTTTTTATGTTTTTCTACCAATCCAAATCAATTGAAATTTGAGGTGCCTATTCTTCAAAAATAATAGAATCTAATAAAAATATAACAAAATAATTCGCAAAATATAAATAGACCAAAATCCTCCCAAAACGTTTCGAGAGTATTTTGATCAATTTATATTTTATGAATTATTTTTTTTATATTTTTATTACGTGAGTCTTGATGAAAAGAATGAACGCTCCAAATTTCAAGTGATTTGGATTTGTAGAAAAAAAAATTAAATTTAAAATAAAAAATGAAGGAAATGAAGTCCTGATCGTCAGATCGGCTTAGATGCAATCTGGACCATGGGTGTTTACTGTAGCAATAAGCCCGTGGGTATATGAAATCCACTCCATATATATATATATATATATATATGGAAAAAGCTAACAAACACCGACAGTTATAATGAATAGTAATATAGGTAGAATCTCAACCGTCAGATTTTCATCGTGTGATTCAGAATGCACCATTATATAAATTTTAATTTTTTTTCTAAAATCAGATCATAATAAAATTTTAGACATGTGTACAAAAAAATAAGGCACGCAATTAAAAAATATATTAAAAATATTCCTAAAATATAGAATCACCAAATACACCTGAAAAAATGATGGGGGTTATTTGGTCATTTTAAATTATTGAAATAATTTTGTTACATTTTTATATGGTTTACAATAGTGTTAGGTATATACACCCAAAGTTTCATCTTAATCAAATTTATAGAAAAAAAATTTAAAATTAAAATAATAATATGTAGTTTGAACCACTCGATGAAGATCTGACAGCTGAAATTCTACCTATATTACTATTCATTATAGCTGTCAAGTTGTCGAAATGTTTACTCATATATATATATATATATATAGAAAAACCTAAAAAACGCCCATGAACTTGCTATAGTATTTCGCCACCACCACAAACTTGTTATGTCCGTGGCAGTTTATTGAACGGACCCACAACGGACGCCGTTGCGTTTCCACGTGATTTTTTGACCGCCACAGACCTAGTATGTCTATGACGGTACCGCCACAGACATGCTAGGTCTGTGGAGGTCGAAAAATACACGCCGCCCGATTTTTACGGACGGTAATGAACTTATGGACGAAAATACTGTTCATTATCGCCCGTAAGCATTACGGTAAAAGTGGTATTCATTTTAATGTTAAAAGTGGATACGCAAGTTCCATGGTTGACCCTAGAACTTACGATATCCATTTTCATGAAAAACTTGGTCTCCAAAACCACTTCTTGTAGACAAGAAAGACGCTTTAAAAGTACTCCTAGATAGGATTTTAACCGGGAGTGAATGATCCTACCCACTTTCATGGAAAACGTGGTCTCCAAAACCACTTCCTTGTAGAAAAGAAAGACGCCTTAAAAGTACTCCTAGATAGGATTTTACCCGGGAGTGAATGATCCTACAAGGACTTCAGAAATTCCCATTTGGCATCAACAAATAGATTTTAAACAATGCCCTCACATGGCGAAAGAAAGAGAGTACAAATTCAGGACTTGGCAATAGCCATATATGGCAATTGTGTTTACAGAAATGCATCATAGCATGTATGAGAGGACACAATTTCTTAATAAACAACACAACAAGAAGAGCTATGATACACTCGCAAATACTCAGAAAACCTGAAAACAGATCAATGGAAGCAAGAATGGCTTCATCAACAGAGAAACATTAGCTAGAACAAAGAGAAACTTAACAGTACCTGATTGATACATTAATCTTCCAAAGTCCCAATATTTTCTATAGACTCAGAAAAGATCTAGAGCCAACTTTTGCTTGTTCATTTTCCATTTAGGAAGCTGGTAAAAGGCCTTCTTTGTCATCCCAAATTGCTCCTGAAATTCTTCATGGGACAAATATGACTGCATATAAAAATAAACAAGAAATATCCTGTTGTATTTTATAATTCATAATATATGCAAAAGTCAGGTTTAATTCACTAAAATTTTGTGAGAGAGAGAGAGGGGGAGATGCAAAATATACCTCTCTCCTGGTTACATCAATGTCAGTTACAGGGCTTTTTGAAGACACCTTCAAGCATTCATAGGTGAAGATTTTTGACTCCTCTTTGGCTTCGAGACTTTCTGCCTCATCTTCTTTAATCGCTGCGGTTTTGCCATTTGTCATGTTCAAATGAACGTCCTTTGCTTTCATGGGTTCTGGTGCTCTACCTGCATAAGAGAAACATAATTTGTTAATGTTAAAAAACAATGCCCCCAGACTACTGGATGTTACATCATGGTATCATACTCTCCAAACAAGACACATGACTTTGATTCATTTTGCAAAAGAAAAAAAAAACTAACATAAAAGGAGTTAACATATAATAATCTTTAACTAAATATATAAATCTCTCTCTCTCTAACACACATACACTGTGACACATGTGCTTAGCTGAATTTGTAAGACAGAAAACAAAGTGCATTAGCCCATCAAGAACAAAGAAGAAGACAACCAATATCCTCATATTATACTCTCTAAGAAACAAATAATTCATAACAAATTGTTTACTTTTGGATTGCTGAGACTGAGGAGGCAAAGCAGCCATAGCAGGTGAAAGAGGGGGAGTCTCCTTGCTTGGACTCGATTCTGGTGATGATCTTGGAAAGAGCTTTCGGACAACTGGAGGTGGGGTGGAGAGACCCCTTCCATTTGAAGTTTCGAACCTCGATGCCATGGCGGTGAGTGCTGGAGATTTGCTCCTCACTTGCCTTTCCCTCTCAGAACTAACAGACTTGCTTCTTGATCGATCTGGAGTACTTTCAGTGGAGTGCATTCCATACACCTTCCTTGAACTTTTTGGGGTCTGTATATTGCAATATAAAAGTAAAGCTTCATTCATCAACTAATCAACTCGGAAGGGAATATCTTATGCTATAAACCAGTGGTTGAAAAATTGGCCGGGCTCGGGCTCGGGCCCTTGCCGAGCCCGAGTTGTCCCAAGTTGGGTGTTCAACTCGGGGATATTAAAAAAATTCAAAAACGAATAATAAAAATTTCAAAAAAATAAGAAATTTACTTGGGATATCTTTTTTTTATTCTATTTCATTTATCATTTTGGCAAAGATTGAAAAGTGTTTTGGCTATAAGTACTTATTTTTACATTTTCCCATCCTTTTTGGATTATTTCAAAGAGGGTGCGGTTTGTATTGAGCCGCGGCTCTAAACAATCAAATTAGAGCCTACCTTCAAATAGTGTCAAGAAATGTGGTTTTAATATTAGAAATCTTTGTAATAGCCTTAAAATATATTTTATCTCTAATTATAAAATTTAAAGCTTAAAAAATAGTGTAGATCGACCAGATCTATGAAAACTTGAAAATTTACGATCCAAAAATGTGTTACAAGATGCACAATTTCCATAATTTGAAATTTATTTTTTTCTCATTTCCATGCACCTTGATGTCGAGATGATCAAAATGAGAATATTTGGGTATCAAAACAACTTTTCTAGTGAAAATTTTGAGATAGGATCTGATTTGATTGCTTGGAGCCTCGGCTCTATATAAACTTTTCCCTTTCAAAAATATCCCCAGTCACAAGTTGATTTTTTTAAATCTATTTTGTTATTATTTTATTAACATCATTTTGAAGTGTTTTGCTTAATCTTACTGTAAAACATGCATTTCCTATTTTTTGGATTTTTTTTAAAAAATTAACCTTTTTTTATTGCTACAATACTCAATACTAATCAGCCAAGTTACTCGGACTCGTCCGGATAATAGGCTCAGGCCAGGACTGATTACTCAGCCCGAGTCACACTTTCTAACACTGCTATAAGCCATAGGCTATGCAAAGTCACATTTGGGTTAGGTCATAATGGGCCAATGAAATGACGGGTGGTGATGGGGAGCGAATGGGACCCAGCAGACCAAGAGATGACTCCTATGGTGGTCCCACTGTCTTCTTCATGGTCCATCAGTGCATTGGATGATGGCTATCCAAATGTGCTATGGTTTTCCAGTAATCCATCATTTAATAGTATACTTTCCATCACTAATCTTGTAAGTTTAGACTACACAAATGCTTAAAGGAAGAGTAAGCCATAATCGATGGAGTACGGTGTTAGGTATTGCAAAGGGGCATCGCCATCTATTCTCGATGATCGGCAGTGGAAATTCTATGTGCCTACATAAATTCCCCAGTGGGCCCCTCTACAGTTAACTGCCTGATGCCCATTTGGAGTGCTGTGTACCATACTACATTAGTTTATGGTATACTTTTTCATACTCAAATATCGCAGCTAGATTATGAACTGCATGGAAGATTCAGTGAGGAACGCGTAGGATTAGTAGCCAAGCAAACTTGACGTCACTATCCAGTTTTAATGTTATATTGCAAATTATTTATAATAGGTAGAACAGTACATTGCCTATATAATAACAGAGCAACCAAAACCATGGCCTAGAAATTCTTGGAGTAATAATACCATCTTCGGGTGTAGCCCTTTCACCATAGCAAGTTTCCTGTCAAAAGAGCTCCCAAGCATCTGCAAAGGAAACAAGTCCGGTTCAATAATTTCAAATCAAGAGATAAATGACACAAGATTTGGTCATGATTGCATGCATCGTGACAAGCACTAAATAAGCCATGTAAGTAGGGCATAAAAAGGTAAATAATAATAATAGATTCAGCACATAATAGGGGAGTGATTACTTTTTGAGGACTTCATATTTTTCAATCAACATAATATTTATAAAACGCTTGAATCCATATAGTTTTCCCTAAATATAGTTTGTGGATTAAAGTTATGGTTCTTTATCGGAAACATATTTTTGCCTCACAGAAAAAGAAAGAGTTCCCTAAGCTTAAAATACAATACAAAGAAGTGGCAATTATTTTCACTTTGACTTGAACAAGACTTGAACATGGCTTGCAATTTTGTGATATGTATCCAAGAGTTGTAGTTCAGGTCTTTGACACTTTTGAAAGCACATTCATTATATGACACTTTCGGAAGTAACAAATTAATAAGAGAAACATCTCGAAACCCAACATGCAAGGATGAATTACTTACAGATGCCTTTGAGAAATCCCATGGAAAGAACCGAGTGAATAAAGAAGGCTCGTACCCTTCCATTACAGCATAAATAGGAGTCTTCAATGATCTTCTTTCAAGAAAAATGTCCAGCTCAAGAAATTTCTGCAAAAAAGCATAAAACAAACCACTCAAAGACATATTTCCTCCATAGTATTTAAAAGATATTTATTCTGAAATATATGCAGGGAACCCTACCTCACCAACAAGGAAGGCTTGTCTTTTAGCAGTAAAATTTGAACTTTGCCCGATCCAGACAAATATTTCGCTAAGGCAATCTAGTACTATTACATCTTCAGTCATCAAATCATCTTGAGAAAAGTTGAATATCTCATTGACCTGAAATATACATGTTACGAGAAGTGAGCTGCAACGATGATCCATCACCAGTTGAAATACAAGTAAAATCGCATTAAAGGCAGCATTTAGGCCTAAGAATTTTAGGATGTCCATTCTTCAACAAATTCACGAATGTCCTCTTCTAATTTCTAATCACTATGAAACTCTCAAGAGTATCAGAACAACCCACTTCTAAACAAAATAAAACCCTCCATATTGACACCCCAAAGGAATCGCAAGTCCCTAAGTAAGCATGAAAACAATCAAGAATTGCAGACAGACATGTTTCATGCATGTATGCCGACAAAAATAGTAAAAAGAGTATGTCATGCATGCGAAAGTACCTTTAAAACACCTGAAATTAGAATGGTGAAGACCCAGACAAGGCAATATAGCAAAGAATCCAGAAGCCTGTTAGACAAAGAAGTACACCATCCTTTACATAGGAAGGGGACAACAAAATGAAAAGAAAGCATGGTTTACCTTCTGAAAAAATACAGGTAAACAAATGTGGATCATCTGTAACTTTTCTTATTTCTCTCTCCCTTGAATAATCCAATTTTCCACCAAGAGCATTCCAGAAATTATCTGGCTCACTGCCTTCCCTAATTGGTCGTGTTTGTTGATTGGGCTGCTCATAAAATCAAGAAAAATCCAAAAGAGTTGTTACAACAAAACAAAGCTCTTAAATTGTATCAAAATATATGAAATACTGAGTAGCCAATATGCTTATTGCTTTTTGAGGGAAATAATGTATATCCTAACCATTCCATTATTGCACCAATATTTAGCATCAAAAGTGAAATTAATTTACCAAAACACTTGAAACTTTCTTCTAGATATGATCTGCAGAATAAGAGCTGGAGGAAAGAAACACGCACATTTATATGGTCCAGCATTCTGTCAAGAAGATCTTGGTCCTTTGGAGAAGAAAGGTTGCCAGTCCAAGTAAAGAAGGAAGCTCCAGTTTGTACTATGTAACAATAGGATGAGTTGAGAGAACTTGAAACCTGTAAATGAATGCCAACAATCAATAAGGATTGAATAGGTTTTCCTAATAATTAACAATTAACTATGTTTCTCATGCTTCTTAACATATTCTTAACTATGAAGACCCAAGTCATGCAAATAACCCAAGTCATGCAAATGGCCCTAAAGATAATTCGAAAAGTCTGATTCTTCAAACCAGTCACGATGTATAATTACGGTTGAACATTGCCCCAGAAAAATCATTGCTTACACATATTCATGCTAAGGAATGTACAATTTATACATACTGGATCAACTTGAATGGCTTGCATGCTATCCACACTTGATCCTTGAATTCGGAAGAGAGCAGTCATGCTTTTGTTATAAGTTTCATCAATGATTTTGTTTTGAGCAATATACCTCTTATACCCAGAACTCATCCCTCCCTGCATAAGGGAACAATTAAGAAATAAAAGGATGCATCTATTAGAGATGAAACAACTGAAAACAACTGGAAACTATCTTGAATTATATATTTCAACTGGATGTCTGTAATCTATATTCAAGTTCAGGTCAGCGTAGATTTCATTCCAAAATGGGAACATTACACAGATGGTAATAGTAGTATTATTTTTTCAAGCATGCATTCCAATCTTTATAACCTACAAATCCTCACCTTGAATACAATGAGTGACTGGATAATCGAAAAGAATTCAATGGGTTCCATGGCTTCAAAAATTTGAGCCTGAACAAATAAAAAAAGGAAAAAGTTTAACCTGGAAATTCTTGTGGCAAAGCTCAAAATTTATAAAATGAAAAGCAATGCATGAGATGCAGTAAATGAAATAAAAATTGGCATGACTCCATGTGTACTGTATACCATGCTGATGCAAAGACAAACACAGATTCATAGGTTTGAAGACCTTCATGCAAAAGAGTTCTCATCTTCGCACCATATGTCAGCGAGTAGCAAATTACCAATATCCCTCTTCTGCATAAGCAGTCATTTCTCCCTAGTTTTCTATAATCTTTGCAATGACAAACAACAGCAGGTACCACATTTCAAGAGACCTTCCCAGAAGCAGACATCAAGATAAGAGCTCACAAGAGAACCAAATTCCACTGGCATACCAAATATGGTTCACCCATAACTACCTTTATCGAAATTGACAACAAAAACAGGGAAGCTCATTAAGACATAAGCTTCCTAAGTACAATATCAGCTAGTCATGCAAAAGGAAGAAAATGCCATTCAAAAGAGAAGCACAAACCAGAACAGCTTGACCCTTTAGTGAGTCAGCCATTGCACACATAAGGGAGATGGCCTCAACTCTTTCTTCCTGCAATAAATGACCATGAAATAATTGACATTGTAAAAAATAAATGAAGAAATACATATGTAGTAAAGACAGTGAATGCATTGATTTATTAAAAGGTAATTGAACAACAGAGTTCAAGTCTCTGATAATTTTCATAATCAGTAGAAGAAAGCATGTGAGAAGATGAGGAACAAAGCATGCTGGAGAGTTTTCTTATAATCTTAAGGAAACACATACAATGAGACCATTTACTTTTGATACAAAGAGATCACAATCATCATTGATCGTTAGATTTGAATTTTGTGGTTGAGGATGCATCGTTGTTTGAGCATGAAGTCCAAAATAAAATTTCTCAAATGTTGTGACGCACTTTTATTTATTGGATTTCACATCCAATGGCTAAAAGTGATTGTTACTTCCTCGTACCAAAAATAAATTGTAGTATACAATCCCATATCTTAATATGCAGAAAAGAAAGTGAAAAGACTAATAATTATGCAAACCCACTTCCATATACAATTGATGAAGAAATCAATAGCAGTTCCACCAGCATATCGTTTCCAAGGTGATAATCTATATAAGTATGTGCAGAATTGAAGCATTATTACAACATACGGACTTTCCTGCACCATTACTAGTGGTAATAGCAAAAAGATCTTTGAGGAAGTGGAAAAAGATGACATTTTTTTCAATAAACAAACATTTTTATAAAATAAAAAATTATAATTCGAATTAGGGTTCTACACTTTAGCCCTGCAAGAAATCCTATACTACACTTTCTCACACAGGAGAACTCACCAATATGCTGTTATATCCCACCCAAAGATAGAAAAGATACTCCTCCCTTTCTTCTCCAGGATAAGTGTACTGCACAATGTAGCACTCCCCAGTATAAAACTTAAAATTTTCAGTAGATGGAAGAGGAATCTTCTCATGGAGATTGACACGCCAAACCTGAATTAAGTACATGAACTGAAAGTTAGCAACCCACACATCACTAGTGGAACACCTCATTGGGAAGTAGAAGTACCTAAAGAGTTCACAGTATTCCATTCTCATAAATGCAAAGATGCAAGGGGAATTGTTGAGAGAGATTACCTGTATCTTGCCCGTACAATCTATAAATGGCTGGCAGTCCTCTTCAGGAAGCTCCTTAACCTCAAAACCTTGTTGCTTAAACATGGCTATGGACAATACCAAAAACCATAATCATATCGGCAATTAATTCACAATGAATTTGAAACCAAAACTCCCCAGTAAGCAATTTTTTTCATTACAAGACAAGGAACTGACCTGCCACTTTCCCTTTTCCTTCCTGATACAAGTTTGGTTGTGCAGTGGGCCATGCAACAAAATATGACCTGAACTTTGCAGTTTCAGATCCTTCTGTTAAAAAGATTACATGGGAGTTTGTTGATCTATCAAGGGAGTGAACGATATCCTAAAGAAAGTACAGAAGGGAATAACGTGAATGGAAATGTTCCAACATTCAAATATGCGAATGAACGCAAACGATAATTACATGCACATGTGAATAGGCACAGAAAATATTGTATAAGCACTTGCTTGTATTTCCCACACAACTAGACACTAAGTTTTTTTGGGAAAAATATATATGATGCATATGGTCATAATAACAACAATGGCATAGTGATTTATCACTGTCCAATCAATAAGTTGGACGTCATGGAGAGAAAACAAGGCTGTAGAATTCATTAATAGAAATTGTAGAGTGGAACCCACTTCGCCAAATATGACACAATCATTGACGGGATGGTGATAACCTCTAGGTCATGGAGTTATTATGACCATAAAAGACCACATTATATGGGCCTCTTGTTTTTGGTAAATACACAAGTTCATGCACATGAATGTAGACTTCTTACTTCCATAGCTGAAATGGATGTCTTTCTCTCTGTGAGAGAGGTATTGCTTCCCATCCAAACAAATATCTCCGCACCACAATCTAACATATAGCACTTATCTGTGTGGAGCATATCTTTCTTTAATGAAGAATCTGCAACGAATTTTGCTTCACCTTTAGCTATCCTACAAAGCATCAGAGTTACTCTCAGTAAGAATGAATGAGGAACTATACAATGAAAGTATAATACAATAAATTTGATTAAAGGGAAGTATATTATGATCCAATGGAATATGGAAAACCAAAGTTCATTGTGGTCATCCATGTCCAATTAAATGAAGAATGGTATTGGAGAAAGCGGTATCTATCAGCACGAGCCATGACCACGAGTTCCACTCTCTCTACAACATCCACCAATTCAATGGATGGTGATAACCTCATTGGACTATATTTTCTGGCCCATAGGATTATGGAATACTTTGGATAACTATAACTACAATAGAAGTCGTAGAACAGTAATTAGACATAGCGATGGGACCTAAACTTAGTTAAATGCAAGTTCGATAACATGGTTGCCATGGGATGAGGGAATTTCAAAGGAACTCACCAATGTAGCTTTACATCACAAACTTTTGGCTGTATGTAACTGACATGGGTTGGGTCCTTTGCAAGGGGAGCATAACCTCCGAAGAAGGTCCAAAATTCTCCAACGTCAGAATCACCAACAAATTTCCCATCCTCTAGAATTTAACACGATAGTCAATAGTTAACAAATGTTCTACATAACGCAAACCAGAAGGTAGAGACACAAAGAAGCATATTTTTGTATTAGTGTCTTGAAGGAGAGGGGCCATAAAGTGGCACAGGGTACATTTTGGAGGTTCTTAGTCTCTTGTACTAATTGAATTTCAGCAATTAAATTAATTAGAAAAAAATCCCATACCATACTTAAACCCTGGAGTCATAAAAGATTAACATACCTACAGTGGCCACTTCACACCTCCCATTGTGATTGTGATCTTTAATATACTGAACAACTTCCAAAGCTTTAGCTCTTTCTTGTATGCTGGAGTTACATCCACTAAACAAGAATATTTTTGATTCCGTATCAAGAACAAATACATCATCATGATTTAGGGATGATCGAGTGAAGGGCACCTATTATCAAGCAACACTGTCAATATATTTTGAAGTCAGATACAATATGAGTAAACATGACCATACATATCTAGAATCAAAAGAGGAAAGTCACAATTATTTAATTTCTAAATTAAAACAAAGAAAATAATGGGAAAGTATGCAGTAATTCAGTGGATAAAGGAAAAAACATAAGCCAACAGGTGATTAAAACAGTGGCCAGTGATTGAGAGAGTGGGACCCATCATTGGGTCACATCTCGCTCTAATGGGTCCCATATCTCCCCATCACGTTTTGTCATTGCAAACAATGGTGATGACCCAAAGGACTATTGTTTCACCTTATTCCTTTTGATTACACTATATAATGCCGAATATCAAAAGGTGAAAGAACAAAAAAGGGACAAGTGTACATCATTTTTCTTTATAGTTTAACAGTTTTAACTAACAGGATGCTTACTTCTTTTACACGAACAACATGTTCTCCTTTGCATGTTAACAAGCAGATTCGGTATGTTTCGTTCCTAGATAGTCCAAATTTGGAAGAAAAAACCCCTTCAATAGGAATGATACAAGGCTTAAAGTACGACAAGAATTTCACAGTTTCGTGGCCTTGAACTTCCCTGTACTGCACAGCACGGCATCCCAAGGCGGTATCTAATTCAACAGCTTTATCTGATGCCAAGGTACAATAAACCTGTTCATTTCAAACATTTACAAGCCATACTCACCAAAAAGAAATTAACAAGCCATCTCTCACAGAAGGAAACTTCAAAAGGCATTCCTGTTGCAGTAAATGGATCTTTCATGCTCATGCTTCATTACATAGACAAGAAAATGGAAGTGAAAAGAGACCTCTTTGGAGTCCTTGCCCAACCAATAATGAATATCATGCTGAAAGATGCCACTCTTGAGTAAAACTGTCTGTTTCAAAATTATATGGAAGTTTCCTTAGTTTAAAGTAGTCCCACCATTTCAAAGACAACTAAAAGATACTCAACCTCCTTAGTTACATTGTAGAACAAGAAATTTCACAAAAAAACTAAAGTACATCTACCACACATAACATCCAGCCATCACACTTAGGCACAGAGAAAGGTTAGTTACATTGTAGAACAAGAAATTTCACAAAAAAACCAAAGTATGTCTATCTCACGTAACATCCAGCCATCAAACTTCGCAAGTGAAAGGAACAAGAGGATAACTTCAATAAAAAACTTTGGAACATATAAAATGTGATACTCACATTCAGTATTATGTATGAACTTCCAGTATAAAATTTCCCATATGATGACTTTGGGACTGGAGCCAAACCATGGTCTTCTACACACCAAATTTCCAACCCACTAAATCATGGAGTTAAAGAATGAATAGTAAACAAACCAAGACTTGGAAAACCCTAGCTAAAAACTATACAGATGAAGATATCTAGAATCTTATGTACTACTCTCTAGAATCCACAACAGCCACTCGCATTCACTAAAACATCTAATGCAAGCTCTAGCAATAGATATGATGCAGAGATGCAAATAGAAAAAACACAAAACCACATGTGATCTTATTGCTTGTGAAATATAAGGATGGATGCTTCTCAACTTCAATCGAACTTCTAGATGACAAGGTTTAAGAATGTGAATAACCATCATTGAAAAGAAAAATTGATTCCTTTTTGTGACGTCCATTTTTGTAGCCAGATAATCTTTATCCAAAGCATTACCGTTTGTTAGCCACCGAGGAAATTTAGAAATCAAAGGAACATCGAATGTAGGATCCAACTTGATGTATAGGCACTAGAACCAAAAAAAGAAAGCAAAAAGAGATTCCTATATCACAGCTCCCCATATACTTAAAGGTAGAAGAAATCCAAACACAGAGTGGCATAGCCTTTTTCATATATCAGTTCCAATTTAGAATCCATTAGCTCTAATCTGTATCTGCTACACTCTCCACCAGTGCTCAGAAACTTGGTTGAATCAGTTCGGACTCAGCTGAGTCGACTCAGTCTCAGTTACTTGCCCAGCCGATTACTCAGGTGAAATTTGGGGTTATGTAAAAAAAAAAATCATAAAAATTATGTCAAATTTTAAAATCAATGTATAAATAATTTATATGTAACTTTAATGATGTTTATGATTTTGTGAGTGTATATTGTCACATGCCCTAATTTTATATTTCCTCTTTCTATGGAATTTTTTTGATATGTCTCAAGCCACAAATCAATTTTTTCTAGTCAAACGACATGGGAGTACACTGTCCATCGACTCTTTTGGGCAGAAGCAATGCTAGCAATGTTTTTTAGATCCCAAATTTCGGGGATGTAATATTTAGAACCCAGGGACCAACCTCACGGGGTAAAAACAAAAGCCTTACATGTCTAAGAAAAGTGACATCCCAAGATTGCACAGGAACCATCCAATATTTGGAGGGAAAGATCTAGATGTTCAAGAAGTCAAAATCCAAATATTTTTCGTTGATAATAATCATCTAGTGATACTTAGATGGATCCCAAAACTTGGACTCCCAGGTAGCTATTTTTCCCGAGGAGTTATTGTACAGTATGCTCCCCCTAGAGCTATACATGCTTTTTTTCTTATATCCATGTTTATAAATTTTTCCATCTTGTTTGCACTTCTGATGTTGTTTTTAGTCTACTATTTTTATTTTATTTCATTTTTAACTTTTTTTATTTTTGTTTATTTTTAGGGCTTTTTTGTCCCCTACACTACTAGGGCGAGTCCACTCGGACATGCCCGAGTTACTCCGCTAGGGCAGGGCACAAGTCCCCAGTTCAAGCCGAGTTCCTGAACATTGTTCTCCATTAATTTATTCAGTATTTAGAGTTGTCAACAAGAACTAACTGTTTAATCAAAGGAACCATCAGTAATCTTCTCTTTTGACAAATTCTTTACACAAAGAAATAAAATCTGACATTATAAGAATTATTAGATAAATGTAAGAATGCAGAAACACTTTGGAGAATGAAGGATACACTTGCTGGCCAGCCCCATAAAAAGCCGCATCAACATCCTTAGCAGATAGTGACATCCTTTTCCTGAATATTTTCTCTCCAAACTTATGATATCAGAATTTATCTGCATAGGAATCATACAAACTTCACTTAATCATAAACTAGAAATATCAAAATATTTATCATCATGGTTATATATACTATCTTCTTAAAATTCAAAAACAATAATCAAGGAGAACCAGTGTATCATGTGGCATTTGAAAACACTCATAGAAAGGCAGCAGCCATAGGATAAAAGAATTTCAGTGGAATGATAAATTGAGAGTTAGATATAGAACATAATTTATGAATTTCAATGCATGAAGCCCAATGCTGTCGTTAATTTGCTTAATTAGTTGAAACTTGAGACATACTCATCAAATTAAGGAAATAAAATGGCAGGAAGTACCAAGAAACAAGCAAGTGAAATAACTCATATAGAAGTTCATAAGTGTGCCTGAACAAATATAGCAACCAGTGTGCCAGGACACACCTCAGTCAAGGAACTCGCCCTTGGCCCTTGGCGGAGGCTAGCTACATGAGTCCTACGGACTGAAGAGCCCTAAAAAAATTTAATAAAATAAGAAAAACTTTCAAAAAATGAAAGAAGTATAGTAAAAACGAATTAAAACTAAAATGAACCTTAAAAGTGTCCAAATAAGCTTAAAAAAAAATTAAGAAAATGAATTTAGAAAAATGACTTATAGTTGGGGATATTTTAAAAAATCCAAAAAGAGAAGAAAATATAAAAACAGGATTAATGGCAAAAAAACATTCACCAATCTCTGCCAAAAACACCTAAATCATATACAAATTACTATAGAACAATCCAGCAATTTATTTTTTTTAGAAATTTTTGCTTTTTTTTTTAAAAAAAATAAAATAAAATAAAATAA